GTTAAAATCATCATTAAAAAGTATACATTATGGCAACCTTGCCCTTTTTTTCCTGGTATTAGTATGACATAACAGGGTCCCATACCAATGATTATATAGAAGCGACTTAGATGGTAAGCCCTGGAAAATGTTGACTTTCTCTTGGAAATAGCCCGGTATTCCCGTGCCATATTGAGAATTAATTACACCAATTAGAGCCTAGATTACAAAAGCAAATATTTTTCTGATTGATTTTCCCTATTGATTGGACAGTAACTGATATTGATATTTCAGACGATGTATTTGACAGAAGTTTGAAAGACAGTGTTTGGGATGTTTACTTCAACATGACCTGGTTTTATACAATAATGCCTCGTTTCTGCAATACACATCACAAATGGCCTCTTTATGAATTTTGTTTAGATTTCTTTTAAGGGGAAATATTATAATTTTGATATTAAATGCATTAAGCACAATATTGGAAGTTAATGTAGTAAGTGATACAAGTCCTCTTTCAAACAAACAAAACACAGTTTTGTATCTTCGTAAAAAAAACTTTTCTAATACAATGTATATACAATGTATAAAACAAGAATTTGCCTTTGCAGCAAAGCCTCCAGCTTCATTTGCTATTTGAATAAAGCATTAATTGCTTACAGTTAATTAGCCTAATTACAAAGAATAAATGCATAAGTAAAATGTCTTGTTAACTGTGAGTTACGTCAATACCTTACGTAGTAGTTAGAAATTAGGTTACGTTAATAAGTTAAATACCAATCAAAAGAATTTTATGCTGAGTTTCTCAACATATTTTTTTTTTCTATTTGCCACCACAATGCACATGGGACAAAATCTGTTACTAGGTACTATTCAATTTCACACTAGTGTTAATGAATAATAGAATCAATAGCTGTGATGAAAATAAAACACATCCTCTCTAAAAACACAGATGGTCACCTATTTGCCGAATGTTTAAACAAGCTATAATCATGATGCAAATTTAAGTTGAGGAAAAACATTTGGCAAACACACCATGTAGCTCCTACAGGGTCAAACAAGCACAGTTTTCTTCAATTTAATTATGCATCTTCAAAGTTCTCTGAAGTTTAAACATTGTAAATATTTCATTATCTTTAACACGGGCTAAAAACAGAATTTTGTATATTTGGTTAGATAAAGCATTAAAACAATTTAAAATATATATATATTTTTTTTTTTTTAAATGAAACACAGAAAATCAGCATGACAGTAAAAAAAATAATACTTTTTTGGATTAAAAATTGACTTTGTTATTATTTCATTGAAAAGGTTTACAGTGGAGTTTTTAGTCAAATCTAATTTGTATCATGCCCTATATGTCAATTATTATATTCTGATAAGAAAACAGGTGGCAGTGTTTGAAAAAAGGTCTGAAATTTATTTTCTTTATAATTCATTGTCTGCACACAAACATTTTATTGATAATTAAAAAAATAGTTTTATAAGTGCATGCAATCACTTTAATACTCAAAAGATGATCATTAAAAATACAAATTATAATTAATAAATTTAAAATAAGAATTTTAGATCAAGTTTAAGCCATTTCCTTTTTTCTTACCTATTATTTAAGATTGTCCTCATTTTTTACATGGATAATTCTTTTGTTCAATTGATCCTGTAAACTTTAATCAGCTCTTACATTAAGCACCTGCAAAGCATCACACATCACCAAAAAAAATGCACAATTCAAAGAGCCGCAAAACTCAGTGCATCTGTAAATATGAATTGCGGAAACATTGTGGTTTTGTGAGGAGGAATTCTCGTGTTGCTAGCAGAGATAATGTTCATATAGGAATCAATTTAACGGCACACAACATAATCTCAGCCCCGCACTAGAAGTTAAAACAATGAGTGCACGTAATAGCCCATCTGTGTTGCACAGTATCAGGCAGGGTGTATTGATCTGATAATGTGAGGGGGAACATTTTAAAATTAGTTCACACGAAGGAATGCAGGTACAAAAACTTATATCCTTGCCTCTCAGAGGGTTAAAAACATGGATCTTTAATGTCCTCAAAATGATTTTTGAAAAATTAGATCCCTTCTTGAGTGCTTTATTTAATTAGCATAAAATTAATGAATTAAAGTATTGGGAAGAGCCTGTAAATCTATATCCTCAGCTGAAAGATGACAGAGTTTGAACTCAAATATGATAAATGATACTGCATAGTTTGAAGGGGAAAGAATGTTATCTGCACCTTCACATTTCAGATGTAACTTCTGAAAAAGCACCTGTAACTGATATGATCACAGTTGAGTTATTTGAAGTTTTTATATAATTTCTAAAATGCTTATTTTACTTGAGTATTTAGAGTAGATAACTCTCCTGTAGAGATGTATATGTCATGTTTTATTTAATTAGTTTAAAAGATGATGACTATTGTAATTGAGGGCAAATTTGAATTCAACACTTTTTATCAGGAATTGTAAAAAAAAATAGTGAATTCTTAAGGAGGCCACCTGATTAAATCACTCAGCTATGACTTATTGCCACCTGCTTTTCTCAATTATTGTTATCTGGTTTTTTTTTTAAATATATATAATTGTGACATATATATGTTTTGATGGTATCATCCATAAAATTTCAAAAATTCTCTGCTTCTCTCCTGAACCACTGAATAATTATTTTCTTTCAAATTTTTATATAGCATATCTTTGGGTATTAAGTGGAACAATTTAAAGTTAGGATTTTTACCCCCCCCCCCCCCATTTCCTCATCCTCCTAGGACCTAAGGAGTGCATGGGGACAAAACTTAAAACAGTATCTAAAAAATATCTTGTTTTACCCCTCCAAAGTAGTTAAATTGTTCGCTTGATTAACAGGTGAATGAAAATTGAGCTCTCGACCAAAAATTATAAAATTTTCGCACCGGGGTAGGGCTCTTAAATGTTAGGATGGGGCTTTATTGATTATAGATAGCAAAAATGTATAATTGTTGAAATATTTGTACTTTATAATTATAAAAGTTAATATATAAACACATGATTATGAATTGATCAAAAGCACCTCTTCCAAATTCTCAAATTCATGGCCCATGGATCAAGTGTTAATTTAGGTAATAGAATGGGATTCCATTGATCATTATAATAAACATGCATCATGGTATAATGGTGCAAGAGTACATCTTTCTAAATAATCGTAAAATACTGATTAAACAGTTGCAAACATCCTGTTATACCATATCCATTTTCAATTAGACAATTGAAAAGTTTTGTTGAACATTTTTAATTAGATTAATACAGTACCTGAAAAAAAGTTTAGTTTATTGAGTATATAGTGTCTGGAGAATGTGACTTTGCAATGACAGTTGGACATAGATTCACAGTTGACTTTAAGGTTACATTTACAATGTCATGTGAATGCAGTGGCTGCAGCACTACTGTTAATTTTAAGCAAGCTAGTTTCTGAAAAACAAAACATCCAAGCACACCTAAGCCAGAGATGAATCGTGCAGTTGCAGATTCTGCGTAGTGTTGTTCTAAGTGCAGTGTTGATGAATCACACAGTAGTTGGCGTGACATAATTGTGATTGTAAGGGAGATAAATCTGATATTTATAGTCTAATTATAACAGGAGTCGGCAGCAATTATATTATCTGATGAAACAATGCTTATGTCCTTATAATTTTTCTCTGTCCTGGTAATTTTTTTATGCGCCTGGATCGATAGATCCCGGGCGTATATATTGTTTTTGTCCTGTCTGTTTGTCTGTTTATCTGTTTGTCTTTCTGTCTGTTGTCAACTTTAACCTTCGCCATAACTTTTGAACAATAAGAGATAGGGACTTCATATTTGGTATGCATACTCCAATAATAATGACATCAAGGTCAATGACCTTGTGAGTATATGCTAAAAATAGCTTTTTCCACTGTTTGTCATAACTTTTTAACCATAGGAGATAGGGACTTCATATTTGGTATGCATACTCCACTAATAAAGTCCTTTCAAACGACGACAAGGTCAATGATCTTGTGACCTTGACTGTGACCTATATGCTAAAAATAGCTTTTTACACTTTTTGCGATAACTTTTGAACCATAGGAGACAGCTAGGGACTTCATATATGGGATGCATACTCCACCGATTAAGTTCTTTCAAATGACACCATGGTCAATGTCCTTGACTGTGACCAATATGCTAAAAATAGATTTTTTGAACTTTGTTGCCGCCGGGCGCTTAGTGTTTCACAAACACATCTTGTTAATCATCTGATGATTTTCCCCTTAATTAATTTCACAGTACTTTTTTATCATTGTTATTGCTGTCTCCAGTACATAAAATTATTTGAATTATTCATATTTCACCAATTTACTTGGACTGTCCAAAGCAGTTCTCTGTCTGTCTGTATGTGTTCAGCTTGGTACAAGATTTTAAATCTGTGACTTAATTTATCTCCATAGATTTTGAATTTGTGATCAATATAGCAGCACTATGCTTTTTTTTTGTTCTATTTGTTCATTTTCAACCTGAAGTGCAGAAATTCTAGATAGCATCAAGATGCTGAACGATTGATTTTTTTTTATCACTGAATTCTTGTTTACTTTTTGGCACTTCAACATCTGAGTTAAACTTGCTTTATTAGCCTTTTAACATGTTGTTGCACACACACAATTTCTGAGTTGAGGCCTACTGTGCAAGCAGCCTGTTAAAATTATGAAGGAAAAATAATTAGTAAATGTTCCTTTTATGATATTGATTTTCTGTTGTTTTAAAGAAACCATGCAGCCTTATCTGTGACTAAAGTTGATATTGTAAAATTCTAGAGCTGTTAACTACTACAAATAATTTATTTAATGCCTAACAGATTTATTAAAATTCACTTTATCCAAGTAAAATGTGTACATAAAATAACTGAATTAATATTTCTGAAAGTCAGCAATGAGTTCTATGTAATTATTTTTATGCCCTATTGATAAATTTAACTGTAAAAACCTTAAATTTTTACTTCTAGACGTATTACTAAAATTCTGTATCTTTTACAGGTCTCCAAGACATCCAGAGAGGTACCTTATAAAGAGAATTGTTGGCCTGGAAGGTGATATTGTAAAGTAGGTATACAATTGTATACATGTACATATTTTGGGCCATGAAGAACTCAAGTGTGATGACTACATGTTTTGGCCCAAAAGGTGAAGTTAGAAAAACAAGAGGCCCACAGGCCTTATAGGTCATCTGAGTATCATGTAACAACTTTCAAACAATTAAAATTGGTTCGTGTTGTATCCCAGAGGCCATGAAATTCACAATTCACAATTTTGAAAGAGGCACCATTGCTTACCATAATTATAAACTGAGCATGCTTACTCTATTTACTTAATACCCAGAAGAAGATCAGAGTAACAAAGAGAAAATGCACTTCCACTTAATAACCAGTTGTGCAGCTCACCAAAAAGGAACCACTGACCCTGGGGCCATATATTTTAAAATTCTGCAAATTTTATCAGAAAATGGTTGATTAATACTAAAGAGCAGATTTCAAAGCATTAGTTTATTTTCAGCCTATGTAACCCCCAACCCCTACGCCCCCCCCCCCCCCACCCCACCCAGGGGGCATAAAAATAACCATTTTGCTAGATGCACCTTTCTTCATCATAAATATATATATATTTGGATCATTGGCATAAAACCCAGGAGCAAAGGAATAGATTTTCAAGGAATTAATGCATTTTCTCTATAGAGCCCCACCCTAATACCAGAAACCCTGACCCTGGGGCCATAAATTTCACAATTTTGGAAGTGGCACTCTTGCTCATCATAACTATGTACTTAGTTAGTTTATTTAATACCCAGAAGCAGAGAAGAAGATTTTCAAAGAAATAATGCATTTTCACTGTATAATCTATATAGCCCCGCCCTAGCATTAGAACCCTTGATACTTGGGCCGTGAATATCACAATTTTGGTAGAGGACTCAATGCTCATTACATTCATGCCAACACTTTGCCTGTTTGATGTTCAGGAGTAAAGAAGAAGATTTTTAAATATTGCAATAATTTTGGTGGTTTTGGCCCCAACCCTCAGGCCCCAGGGGGGAAGGGACTATGAAATAGTTCCCCTTCACCCATAAATGCTGTATACCAAATTTGGTTGATATTGGTTCAGTGGTTTCAAAGAAGAAGCTGAAAATGTTCAAATGTTAACACACGACGGATGACGCACGACGGATAACAACGGATGAAAACGGATAGCAATAGGTCACCTGAGTTACTCAGGTGACCTAAAAATGATGCAATTATGTGTCAACTTCAATTTCTAAAACAGAGTAAAACTTTATTTTTCTCTTTTAAGGTAGTATGTACGATGGCCGATAGGGGCTGTCAATTTACACTAATGTTATGTGTGTAACATGTACAGCATTTTCAATGACTCAATGACAAGTTAAACTTGAAACAAAAAGTGTGCAAAGTGTACAGCATCATTGCAAAATTTCATGTACACTCTACACCAACTTTTGTGTAAAGTGTTCAGAAAAGTTTCACGTATACTCTACATCTAAAGGCGGTATCGAGTAACAAAACAAAGAAAAATTCTTTTTCTTTCCCTTTTTTCTTCCCCCACATTGGTACCTCTTCAAGAGTACGAGACTTGAACGTAAAAAAAAAATGCCGCCAAGATATTTTGGTAAGTTGAATTGAATAAGCACAAAGAATTATTTATAACTGCATTTTTGATAATTAGACATGCGTCTCTTACATATAGAGATTGAATACTGTAAACCGACTTTTATTCACGTGCGAGATATTTTGGTAAGTTGAATTGAATAAGCACAAAGAATTATTTATAACTGCATTTTTGATAATTAGACATGCGTCTCTTACATATAGAGATTGAACATTGTAAAACGTGCGAGAAATTTTCGCGAAGTTCATGAGGGCCTTGTCTTTGCGAATATATCTGCCGCGAACTGGTCCTTAAAGTTGTTGTGTCTCTTTCAACAAATCCCATAAAGGCTCGATTGTGAAAATTAATCGTCGCGAACTACTTTAACTGTGGTAAATCGCGAAATAAAGTCGTTGTGAATAAAAGTTGGTTTACAGTATCTTTTTCTCCTATTTTAATTGGTTCGTATAATTATTTCTGTTTCAAGATACGCACATGTTTCTCAGATTTGCAATAAGCTTATGCAGAATATGAGACACTAAATTGACTTTTTTTCTTTTTGCTTTGTCTGTCATTATCTGTCCTGCATTGACATTTAAACATTTCTTTGGAAAGACCGAGCCAATATCAACAAATTTTGGCTTACAGCATCCTCAGGTAGGTATGTTCAAAACATGACCCACAGGGGGAGAATTGGAGCCATGATTATTAACCATTTAAGTTTTTATGACCAGAAGTATGTTTTTATCCTGCAAATAATGGTCTTTGACTGAAACTTCGCTAAAATTAGTTTTGAGCTTAATCCTGAGCTAATTAATTAAATCATTTTTATTTTCAGAATTCCAGAAAACACAAAAATCAACAAACGCTGGGATAATCCAGAAGGGTGGGTACCTTTATTCACTTTCTAAATGTGCAAGCTTATTAGCAATTAAAAAGTTTGTTGTGTGTACATGCAATTTTAGATAAATGGTAAAGTATTGATATATTTTATTAACCCCCCCCCCCCCCCCCCCCCCCCCCCCCCCCTCCATTGATATTGTCTTCTGAAAAGAGCAATTCATCACCAACATTTTTTGACACTTTTTCTCAAATGTGTGTTTATAGCTATAAATCAAAGTACTCAGAAGTACAGAGAGCTGGGCTCATTTACAGAGTAGAATGGATTTCTTACATGAATCACGTTTATATTCTGATGAAAAAATTATTTAAAACTATCAATATAAATGATAAGACACTGGCAGTGAGTTTTGCAATCCTAATACCACGGTCCGATTTTGTCAGAATCAAAATTAATCTGGTACCGCAGCTGAATGTAAACAAACAGGCCAGTCTGGTTCTCTCTCCTGCTTTACCTCGTGTAGAGAACTACGGTAAAACTGATTATCAAAAATCCTTACGCTAATGTACTATGTTCTTTGACTTATGAAGTTTTCAAAGTCATTACTACTAATATTTATTTTTTATAGAAAAAAAATTCGTTTTATTTTTGTTGCTTTATTTAGCGTTTGTATTATCTCAAAAGCGGCTGAGAGTAAGAACTATATTTTTGCACGTAACTTTAAAATGGCGACTATGTGGTCAACATCCTGCCTTGAACAGGATCACATAAGCAGGCAATTGCTCTCTGAGCAATAAGCCCGGCTAAAAAGCTCTAACTGTTTCAAAAAAAATATTCCAGATACATGTATAGTAAAACAGGGTTATGGCGAAACATGCTTATAATGAATTAATGCTTATAGCGAAGTGATTTTCATTCCATGCAACTTTAATATTTGTTATAAACTTAACAAATATTACAACAAATTACAGTCATAGTTTAACTAAAACAAAATCATCCATCCCTGGCACTTGTTGTTTGTACTTTCTTACACAATTTCAAATTTTCAAACTGCATTTGAATGACCCTTGGGCCAGGCATGTCCCATATTAGAAGATTTCTGGTTTAAATATATAATTTGTATTTCTTGAACTTTATAAAGTTATTGTGCAATATAAATATAATCTTGACCGGGATATAATTATAAAACAATGTCATTTCGTAAAATATGGATGTGACAAAAACTAAATTAGCAGAAAAAAAAGAAATGTAAAATTCTCAAATGCAGAACAATATTTTGCGCATTTAATTACTTTTTTTCAAATCTGCTGCTTTATAGTGTGCTAAGAGTTTTTTATATCTTCAAGATAGAAGATTTGTTCATGTTTTTTTTTTTTAATTTTGTCAAACAGTTGTGTACTGTAACAATGGAGCCTCATTTATCCGGACGCTTTGGTTCCTAGTCAATTTGTCCAGATATGTGAAGCGTCCGGATACCTGAATCACCAGTTAAACAAAACAATATAGGCTAAGCATTTAAAAATTCTGTCACGATGAAAAAGCGTCCGGATGCTGAAGCATTCGCATAGCCGGGTTCCAGATATCTTAAGGTCCACTGTATAACATATATGATGAAAACTGTACAATATTATGAGGGTTTTTAAATCTTAGCTTTAAATTTCCAAAATCATGAGTCATGGTTATCAAAGTGTCTAAGGTCATACTCAGATCGAGCCTTAATTTATTTCACATTCAAACACATTACATTGTAACTATTTCACTTCAGTTCTATTAATATTTGAGGAACCTGCTTCAACATTAATATAATACTTTGATTTATGTTTAGGGTAGTGAATTACACAAAAAGGACAATACAGATCCCTCAAGGTCACTGCTGGGTGGAGGGGGATAATGCAAGAATGAGTGAAGATAGCAACAAATTTGGACCAGTAAGTATACATTTAACAATAAGATTAAATATTCCTCTTTCTTTAAAATGATATTAAATACAGACATGGTTCAGTGATGTAGTATATTCCATGTGTTGGCAAGAAAATGAGCAACATAAACAGGGGCAGGTAATTCATTTCTGTGCTTAAAACTAGGACCAATAGAAAGCTCTAACAACATGACATATAAATTCCAGCAAAAAATTAAAATAGTATTAATATTATCCAAGTAATCTTAGTTCATTCCCAAGTTTCAATCAGCCCTTACTGAACCAGACTTGCATGGATGGTGCATCTAATGATGGACATTATGTGACCTGCTTTGGATGTTACATTTTACCTATATTTTACATCTGACCGAATAATATTCAATCGTGACATCCCTTTACCAAATAAATATGATTTTTATCATACTTCCAGATTCGCTTCAGATGTTGAGCCTTATTGACATTTTCAAGTTGAGTGACCGGGGTAATGTTTTTGAACTAGCTTTAAAATGAATTTGGCATGTTATCGTAAAAAAAAAATTGCATATATAATGCATCTAAGGATGAAAACTTCCAGATTTGCTTTGGATGTTGGAACTGATAGACATAATGATTGATAAGTGAATAGGTTTAGGTTACCTGGTAAAGGTTTTGGAGCAGGTCCATTTTTAATAACTTTAAATCTTAATTTTAAAACAAACTTGCATGGATGTTGATCTTGAGATGCATAATTACTAGAAAGCTATATGATGTGAGCTTTGCTTTACATGAACATTAGCATTAAACAAAAAATTAATGTATGCTTGATTTTCAATTATATTGGCTCTTTACTCAACGGGGAGATGAGCCTTGTAATCTTTAATTGTTTGTACGAGTCTAATAAATCATCTTCCTGTTTATCCATGTGTCTGTTCATATTCTGATGTGGTTTTCTCAGTAACTACTTATTTAAATGCTTGAAAATTTAGCACATCTTTTTTTCATTATCAGGATCTAGTGGGTTTAGGAAATGTAGTAGCTAAAGCCACACACATTGTCTGGCCTTTGGAAAGATGGACAAAACTTGGATCCACCACACAAAATTAAGGAGGCTCCATGGTCAAGAAAGGTTTCTTAAGTGAAATATTTGAATTGTTTATTTCTTAGCAGTAGGAATTGAAAAAATGAAATAAAATTTATTAAATATTTTACTACTGAAAAGATTGATTCCCTCAAGGAATTTTCGTTTTGGGATCAAAGTTTGTAAATAGCCTGAAAATAATGACCATTGGGCTCTCTTAAGATAACCAATGATTTCTTTTACATACATTTATCAAAATAACAATATCATCCCTTTCCCTGTATTTTCAGATCTCGTTAGGACTTATCACAGCCAAAGCAACACACGTGGTATGGCCGCCTCATCGCAGGAAACGTTTGGAGTCCATTGAGGCACCACCAGAACGCGTCATCAAAGAATGCCAACGGCTGAATATATAAGGACCTCTATGTTTTAAAATACAAACTGTGATTTAACTAATTTTTATAAATGTTATTATTTTGTGTGGTAACGTGTGCAAGATATTTGTAATGTTGATTTTTGTGTGTTATTTGTGAGATGACTTATGTACATGTGTTAAGAGAATTATGTTGCTCTTAGTATGTGATATTAAAATATTTAGAACTATAACAAACGCTCCTCTTGTTCATTTAAATGCATCCATGTTCTGTAACAAGGCATATTGTGTATACGGTAATTATAGTTCAGTTATACTCAGATGTAGTTCGTTTTTATGCAAGATTTTAAGCTCAAAAGGCTTATAAGAAGTTTTTTTTTGTCCAATGTTTTTCCAACATTTGTCTGTCAACATCTATTACTATTCCATTAATCCTAAGTTATACTGCTATTTGGAAAACTGTAGCCAATATTTACACAAACATTTACTTATATTTGCATATGTAAGAAGGATTCATAGTTTTTCACAAATGTGTCACAATCTAGATCTACAGCATCTTTTGAAACAGTGTTTGCTGTACATGTAATGTATATAGGGTTATTGTACTGTATACAGGGTCATTTTGGCTCCTAGTCATTTTCACCCTTTTGCACTCTGGAATAATTTTGACCAGTATCATTCTGTTTTAGAAAAATTTTGGTGTAATTTGAATTCGCCCAATCATGAAGAAAGGGGCGAAAACAAAATGAGGGCAAAAATTTCCCAGTATCCAGTACATGTATTAATATGTAAGGGAAGTTATCATAAATTGTCTTTAATCTAAGAAAAATAAAATATTTGAGTATTATTATACTCAAACAATGAGTACAGTAATGGTATCAGTGGTCAAATGACCCTTAGTTAAATGTGTCAAAATTTGAAGAATGGAAAGGCTGTGGGTTTTTTCATAAAATGTCTTACTATATAAGCACACACTATTGAAAACAAATGAAAAGGGAGGTAATAAACAGTTTTCAGTCTTATTAATTCATACAAAGTATACAAATCAGGAGCAGGGCAAATATGGATCTCTTAACGATGTTCGATACTGATATTTAAAGTCTTAAACTTTTTTTGCCAAGTATATTTTTTGTTTCTACATACATAGCTTAATTAAAATTTTTAAAAAAAAATGGGGGTCAATATGCTTCTTTTGGTGCTACAGTACATTTATTATGACCTTTTTGCTCTGAAATGTTTCTTAATCAAAAATTAAATTTTTGACGTTTTTCCTCCAATATTTTTATCCAGTCAAAGCATGAAACGAAATATACTCTTAGTTTGTTTAAAAAAAAAAGGCACTTTGAAATTGTGACGAAAAAATTTCAAATTGCTTGGCATAATCAATTATTTGACCTTTCTGCAATAATAAAATGTTATTTTTCCGGCATTGAAATTTAATAAGCCAGAAAAATTATTTTAAAGTCTTAAACTTTTTCTGATTTTAAGCAAATAGGTCAAAGTTATCTTGAATATTTAGAAAAGAACATCAAAGTGGGGGTATATGATGTAAATTTTCAGATATTACTAAAAAAGTGTCAATTTTACATTAAAATTGACTAAATTTTTTCCTGGGTTTTCAGAATATATTTACTTTATTTGTCACACTTTGTTGAAAGAATTCATAAGAAATAATTTAATAGATATTTCAGAACCAGCATAACACATTTCACTGCAAAAATCAGCTTTTTGTGCAACCAACATGGAACAACTGGAATCCAAAATTAAAAGTACTGTTATAGTTCAAAAGGGGAAAACCTGATCATTTTGGTCTATAAAACCTTCCGCCACAAAATATAGTCCCTAGCTTAATTCTACTTGATTGAAATTTAAGCGCGGTTTTTAGCTCTACTGGTCAGAGACCAGAAGAGCTTATGCGATAGTAATGCGTCCGTCCGTCTGTCTGTCTGTCCGTCTGTAAACAATTTTTCAAAACGCTACTCCTCCTACAGTTTTGGTCTGATTTCAATATGACTTGGCACACAAGTAGACTACACTAAGATACATAGAATAGTGCATCGGTTTTTAATTTCGATGAACGGTGTTGCCATGGTTACTAAAAATAGAATTTTCTGTGAAAATCCTTTAAAACGCTACTCCTTCTACAGTTTTGGTCTGATTTTAATATAACTTGGCACACAAGTAGACTACACTAAGATACATAGAATAGTGCATCGGTTTTCAATTTCGATGAGCGGTGTTGCCACTGTTACTAAAAATAGAATTTTCTGTGAAATTCTTTTGAAACACTACTCCTTCTACAGTTTTGGTCTGATTTCAATATAACTTGGCACACAAGTAGACTTCACTAAGATACATAGAATAATGCATCGGTTTTTGATTTCGATGAACGGTATTGCCATGGTTACTAAAAATAGAATTTTCTGTGAAATTCCTTTAAAATGCTACTCCTTTTACAGTTTTGGTCTGATTTTAATATAACTTGGCACACAAGTAGACTACACTAAGATACATAGAATAGTGCATCGGTTTTTAATTTCGATGAGCGGTGTTGCCATTGTTACTAAAAATAGAATTTTCGGTGAAATTCTTTTGAAACACTACTCCTTCTACAGTTTTGGTCTGATTTCAATATAACTTGGCACACAAGTAGACTTCACTAAGATGCATAGAATAGTGCATCGGTTTTTGATTTCGATGAACGGTGTTGCCATGGTTACTAAAAATAGAATTTTCTGTGAAAATCCTTTAAAACGCTACTCCTTCTACAGTTTTGGTCTGATTTCAGTATAACTTGGCACACAAGTAGACCACACTAAGATACATAGAATAGTGCATCAGTTTTTGATTTCGATGAACGGTGTTACCATGGTTACTAAAAATATAATTATCTGTGAAATTCCTTTAACACGCTACTCCTTCTACAGTTTTAGTTTGATTTCGAAATAAGTTGGCACACAAGTAGACTACACAAAGATACATAGAATAGTGAAATGGTTTTTGATAAGTACAAACCAGTAGAGCTACAGTCTCGACAGAGACTTCTGGTTTTTATTTTTCATTGAATATAGTTTAATTTGCATTGTAGAATTCGGATTAAATGTTAGAACTTAAAAATGATGCAGAAATTTATAAATAATGGACATGACCAAAATCCACGCAAAATCTCAGGATCCAACGTCCTTAAACATCAGAGTGTGTATATATAGTATGAAAAAGTCAGTCAACAGTTTACTTAATGATAGAGTGTCATCAATTTGCTAATGATGTTGACGTCTTTAAATGAGATTGTTGTTCTTGTTTCATCCACTTGTTTGTCAATAGCTTCCCTCATTTTAGAAACCTCAAAGTAGATCATGCTCTTGCTCCAAATCAACTCAAAGACGTAAATCCCATATGTAAGTGATAAGGGTACATAGCTACATAAGTAAGGGAAGCTGATTGAAAATCTGAAGTCAAGTTGTCAGGTATCCATTAACATCTTTTAAGAGTAAAAATCAAAATATGATGCATTCAAATTTTACCCATGAAAATTCCGACAGATTGTTGGAAGACCTGGTCTCTAACAAGAGGCCTATTGGCCATAATTTGCACCTCAGCACATTGGAAGTTTTAAAAATCACAAATTAGTTTTGTATTGAACAGTTTCAAGGGGGGTTGAAGCTCCTGGGGATACTTCAATATCAATATGACTTCGCTTATTTCTATTTTTCTATAAACACCCCTCTGTAAAAATATGGTCCCCCATTGTATTATTGAGTTTTTTAAAGAAATTCTCCGAAACTTTGATCCCCCACTGTGACCCTGTTTTATCCCCTCACAATTTGTAGAAAAGGGGATCTTTTTTTGTGTCAACATCTACTGTGATACAGGACATTGGTTTACGCATCCATAGGACTGGTCTTTACATCACATTGTGAGATTCGAACCCATTACATGTACTTAATGATCAACTCTTTATTCTGTGACTATACAGTAGACACTAGCTAGCACTGTGCCACGAAGGCAATTACATGTAGTGATAAATATAAGTGCATATCGCTACTTAATGCTATATAAGATCAAAGCATTTTAGACATAAAAAAAAGTCAGCTAAATGATCCAACATTTTTTTTTATTGGTAATTGAAAATTCATCAAAGAAATCATATTTAAGTAATACTTCCGTTCAAGTTTTTCAACAATTTTATGTCTTAAATATCATGAATATGTAAAAAGTTGTCATAAGGACTTCAAAAGAATTATTTTTAAGGATTGTCAATTAATTCCATCAAACGTGAAATCAAGCAGATAATAAAATTATATCCAATCTTATATCATCATAACAATGAAAAATCATTTCATTGACGTTACAAATTGCTTTGGCAACTAATATTATATATTATATCGTAACTTGCTGTTGATGTAAATTGCAATTGGCTACATTTTCCCTATCTACTCTGCTAACTTGAAAGATAAAATAACTTGTGTTCTCAATAAAATTATAACTTTTAGGGTCAGGTCGAGGGTCCTTATTTCACTATGTTGAACTTACAAGGGGGTAATTAATTGTTTTATTATACCGATATATATTGAAAAGTATGAATTTCTAGCCGTTATCAATTCTTTCTTTGATCGGGATCGGGATTCGCTACAGACCAGATAGCGAAATTGTTTACATTGACGTCTGCAAGTTGTGTAAGTTTTTGCATCATGATTTACTGATTAAAACAATATTTAGTTGATAGCGACATACATTGTTATAGCTAACGATTACTATACACAAAATCTAACACAGAATTCAACTCATTAAAGAACCGCCTCTACATTCTTTTGAACTGAATTGTAACGATTGAAACGATTATATTCATTTCATAATAATGTATTTTTAACGTTAAAATTTTACCGTATTCTGTATCCAAATGCAAAACAGACTATGCACAATTTCAAAAACATGTTTTTTTTCGAATAATTATTTTTTTATGCATTAACTTTACTCAAAAACGAATTTTTGATTAAGCGGTCATTTTTAGCGGTCATTAAAAATTATGACCGGGTCATTATATCCCACGTGCAATGATTCCTAGGTCAGTATTGTGTAAACGGTACCATTTGGAGTCATTGTTGAGTTTTAAAGTTTTCTTACCAGCCAATCAAATTCGAGTATTATCAATAGAGGTATAATTATATCGTAACTTGCTGTTGATGTAAACACATGGTAAATTGCAATTGGCTACATTTTCCCTATCTACTCTGCTAACTTGAAAGATAAATAACTTGTGTTCTCAATAAAATTATAACTTACATAATCATGATAATGAAACAATTTTGTTTACAAAATAGAGCCATATAATGACAGCCTATACACACGAATAAATATAGATATATACAAAGATGTTTATTCCAAATATTTAATTTTCTTAACTTTTCCTCTCAACTCAGCAACAAACAAATTATTTTTATACACACATAAACCATACGGTATCCATAGATCACAGTTATCTATGTAACAGATAAACTGTCCGTCCTGGTCTAGGATGTGGATACAGTTGTTATTAAAGTCTGCTGTCAGGATCTGACTCTGGCTGTCTGTCGTGATGCCAAAGGGTTTAAATGGTTTGTTCTTTGTGGTAGAAGGATGGCCGGTGTATCTAAATCGGAGTTTTCCAGCCTGGTTGACCACCACTACAGCACCAGCTCCACAGTCAGCCACACAGATATCCAGGTTTCTGTTCTCACTGATGTATTTAATATAGCCATTTTCTGAATACAGAGGTTTATCCTCCTCATCAAACTGGATTGTTTGTTTCTTTGTGGAGCCTGAGTAACAGACAACTTTGGATTGTGTTTTATCATCACTGAACATGGTAACCAGGAGATCACCAGAGGAGGTGATACAGATATTACTAGGTGACCAGTCCCATAGACTGATCATCTCCTCTGTCTGTCCATTCTTTACTTTATTCACAGTCTTTCTTGTCCCATCAGAGTACACTAGACCTCCATCACCTGTCACTGCTATATCACATGGCCAATCACGTGATTTTATTTTATCTGTTTTTATTAGTATACCTTGAATATTGAAGCATTTCATATCACTGACTTCTCCACTTGTCCAGATTTCTTCTTCACTGAGACAGGTAACATTGCGGAGTTTTTCATACCCAGTATTTATAGTAGTGATATGTTCTGGTTCTTCCAGTATTATCTGTTTGGTTGACATATCTGGTTTCTTCAGTTTGTAACAATTTTCTTCTCTTGTCGTGGATAAAGGTTCAAGAGATCCAAACAACTTATTATCAGTCTGTTCCCTCTCTACTGGTTTTGGATTAAAACCTGAAGTGAGACCTGAAATTTTGGAGGAAGTTTACTGAATTCTTTGTTTCTGGAGTTGTATTCTATGGTCATAGACACTTCTAGAAATAAAAAGAATATGTGATAATGAAATTCATCGACCATTTAATAAAATTATTTCTTTCGGTCTAAAGCTTACTGTAAACTTGGTCATAAAATGAAATATTATACATTTATTGCATGATAGTGAGGGAAATATGAAGACTTATTCAGCCAAGAAAATCATATTCCCCGAGGGCTTCGCCCGAGGGGAATATGATATTTCTTGGCTGAATAAGTCTTCATGTTTCCCGAACATTCATGCAATGAATTGTTTATTATACCGAAACAAGCAAAGCCTTTGAAATAAACATAAACTTTCAAATTCGGCACCGCTCTCAAATTCACTTTCATTCTTAACGTAAAGAACTTGTACTATAAAACCCATTGTTCAACACATTGTCATCAGTTTTGTGACGTCAACCAGGCTATTGTGACGTCTACTACTCTCGGGAGTTTTCGTTCAACGAAAGAGAACTATATTGCGGGAAAATTCACTAGGTGTTCCGAAGAGGTGGAATATGATGAAAAGCGTGCCGACGACGGGAAATATGAAGTTTTACGGCCCGATCACGTGATAACCTAGAACCAATCAGATAACGCGTTGTGTAGAATATTTATAATGAGGTATAATAATATAGTATATTTTAACGTTAACTTTCGATGACCGGGAGCCAGTCAAAGCACGTACCCCTAATAAAAGCGTCCCGGTCAAAGCTTCCCTTAATTTTAGTCAAAGCGTCCACTGAGTTTGGTCAAAGCGCCCCCTAAAATATTTTGATATGAAAATACTGCCCTCAAATATTGGTCAAAGCGTCCTCTGATTTTGGTCAAAGCGCCCCCTAAAATATTTTTATAGAAAAATACCGCCCCAAATATTGGTCAAAGCGTCCCCTGATGTTGGTTAAAGCTGAGAGATTGGGTTTGGATTTCCGATGACCTTGTCAGCTTCGTCGAGAAATATGCAAACCGAAAGTAAATTTGTGTAAAGATATTTTAATTCCCATCACATAAAACTTACCTCAGTCGTTAACAATCGGAATCAGATGTGGGGAGACATTTGTCTTTTCTCCTGTATTCATATTCTTTTAATATTATAGGCCTAACTTATGCATACACGTCATTAATCGTCGGGTGGCGCTGCGGTAGGCCTATTATATTCAAAGTTTGTAACATGTCGCGCTCCGTGCCAACTGCCACAATGACATACTTTGAACTAATCTCTGTTAGAGATTAACTTGGCACTTTAAAGTTTTTTTTGGTCAATTTTCTGACAATAGAGTTATCTTTCTTGTCACTTTAACATGCTTGCAGGCGTGGATCCAGGAATCTTTTCCAAGGGTGGGGGGTCCGCCCTTGTCAAAACTCCCCAGAAATTTCTATTCAGGTAAAAAAGTTAAGCTTTCAAATATTTGAAAAACCTTTATCGTAGAATTGGCGAGGGAACGGTGTGGTGAGGTAATAGGCGCGCTCACTTCTATCTAACTTCGTTTATGTGATTTTTTTTTTCTCATTTTACCATGCTGTTTTAGTGCGGGGGTTGGGGTTCCAAGGTCTTTTAGTCAAGAAGTGTCTCCCTCCCTCTCTCATCGTCAAATTCTCTTGCTTCATGTGTTTTAATTAGACCCAATAACTTCAATATATATTAATTTACACATATACATATATATTTCAGAGCCTCCTTATCTAATAATGATTTCAAATCATTTGATATTATACCATTCCATATAGTTTTAAATTAAGGTATGCAACTTCTAATTAAAATTAAATGGGTTCAGAGTGCATTTTTTTTCATTGAATATAGTTCAATGTATATTATAAAAATAACATTTTTAATATATTGGACATAAATAAACCAGAAAAAAATTTCAGTTTTAAAATGTATTTTTTAATTAATTAAACAATTAACATTAGGTAAAAACTTATTCAAATTCATAATATTCTTTTCATTGAATTTCCAAAAAATGAAGATACATAGAATAGTTATTGCTCTTAGCACAACTTATATAAAGATTAATTAATTGAATAAAAAAAAAAACTCTTTTTTTTTACTATAAGCAACGTCTTTCAATTCGTTAT